ATTCTGGATATAAAGCTGGGTTAATAAAAAGATAGAAAAGTCTCTGCTTTATCCATCACAAAAATGTCCTTTAATTCTGATACAAATAGCCATCAAAAGACCATAGCAAAAAAAAAAAATGGTCATTAGGAAAATGTTGCCTGTAAATCTGAAGGACAAACAGTAATGCCATGGAGCACATCCTACATTAGCCTGCAGAATCTGGGATCTCAGAGCTCACTTTGCTCTGTTTGCTCACCTGAGCAACTGCACAGCTGCAGCTGGCACATGCTCTCCCCATGCTCTCTCCATGTTCCAGGTTAATTTCTTCTGTTCAAACACACAAAAACTGGGAGGGTAGCATTCCTAGCAGAACCAAACAAACCGGTACCCCCTAGGGAATATTGATTGCAGGATTTGAGGCCCCAAAACAAGCTCTCATCATGACTTATTATAATCTTTGATGCTCATAATTTTCTTAACACTCTCCAACACTGTCAGAAAACATTATTCCACCTTAAATTTGCAAAAGGCAGAATTGGGTCATTTTTCTTCTTCAGTATGTTAGTGATATCCCCATCTGTGTCAAAACAACTCAGCATCCAGGGCACCACAAGTGTATTTAAAACATTTCAGACCTGGTATTGAAATATGTAGCACACAAATATGTACTACAACACCCAGTAACATGGTGAATTATACCAATCACTGACAGTATTTATCTGTCAATGGGTATAGAGTAATATTTATGTATTTAGAAGACAAAGCCATAATGAATAAATATCATTTCCTGAACTGGATTTGGAATTATTATTTGAGCTACAGCTCATGAAAATTGGAACAGGGCTTGAAATGCTTCCAGTGGGCAAGTCCCATTTCCATGCCTCATCCAAAAGCCCCAGTGCATCCCCTAAACCAGTGCTACCTCTTCAGAAACACATCCTGTACATCTGCTGCACTACAAGTAATCCTTCTTTTCAGTGAGACACACGGTCAGTGCATTACAATGACACCAAAAGCCCCTCATCTCAATTCTGCTCTATTCTGCTGCTCAGGGGGCAGGGAATGGTGCAGAGCACACTCAGCGTCACACATAGCTGCAAAGAGATTTATTTTCAAGTTTCCAGAAAATATTGTAGTTCTTGTTCCCTTTTTCATTTAAGGCTGCCTTCGCTGGGGAGAACAGTGAAAAAGCAAGGTGAGCTAGAAGGAGCATGTGCATTGGCAGTGGTCCAGCAGGGACAAGCTGCCTGCACCCTCAGGAGCAGGATCCCTGCAGCAGCTCGGTGTGCTGCTCCGGGAGGAGGGAACAAAGCAGGAGCAGCACGGAGCGAGTTTGTCTCGCCCTGCTGAAATCAATGCAGATATGAAACAAAGGATGGAGCATCACAGAGGTGCTGTGGTCATGCTCTGGCAGGAACAATGCAGGCTACAGGAACTAAGCCAAAGGAATGACCCAAACAATGACCTGGCTTTGTGTCAATAACCCCCATATATGCTCATGACTAAAATCAAACTCCACTTAGGCGGGAAATTATGTCAGCCATAACTTTACCTGCTCCCATCACTCACTGAAAACAATATAAATACAGCTCTAGTGGTAAGGGAGGTCAGAGGAGACTCCATCTCTGTATCCTGGCACTGTCAGAGGGCTCTACCCATCTCCTCCCCTCAAGGACACCTACTGGGTAAGATTCCAGCACTCAGCTATAGTGGGTGCTTGCTCGGGAAATTCAGAAAGCCAGCCTGTGTTTGTGATCATACTCTTAGTGCCACTTTGGCATCTCCCAACTGAATGTGCTTGTAGCTGGCTGTATTGTTCATATTTCATGTGTTCAGATACACTTCTGCACGCAGGGTACTCACCACCGGCACAGAAGCACAGAGTGGGCTGGGCTGGAGGGAACTCCAAAGATCATCCCATTCCAGCGCCACACCGGCTCTGCATGTCTGCTGCCGAACTGGCCACGGCTCAGAAGCTAAACCCGGCTGTCCCAGCCCCTCTGATATCTGAGGAGCAGCTGGAAAGTCAGGGGGGTGATTTTCTGCCAAATTTAACGCAATAGATATAGTGGGTTTGCTCTTAACGAGACACTTTCATTACAAAATAGTTTCCACAGCTTGCTTTGGGGATCATAATGACATTATTAACCACCATTTATATAATTGAATCAGGATTTGATATGAAACTATTTCCATGTGGCATTAGATACCTGAGAGTTCATCAGTTTTATCACAGAAGATTACATGGCAAGATCATTACCTGAAATGAGCAAGCAAGTTACCATTTAGTAAAATGAAAGTATGTGGCATGGGTACAATTGGTTTCAATTGCATTTTCTCGCTACTGTAACAGGTTATACTGATGTTTTGTAGGAAAGCAAAATTAAGTTGCAAAACATTAGACAATTTTACATCACAGGTAAATTCATTTAAGAGTAATCAACATCCAGAAAGATACTACATTATTAAGATACATCACGCATGAACACATATTCCCTTTTTTATAGATACATGTGAGCAAAACCAAACCAGTACACGAATACTGGTTTGCATTTCCTTGCAGTATTTTTTAAACATAGGGCTGAGCACTGAATAATGATCCAGAGCACAATTTACCCTCTCAACTAAGAGGGGGATAGAAAAGTTTCTCCAGTACTGAAATATTTGTGCAGACCCCAGAGGGGATACTCAGAGGGTATTCCACAGGAGTGCTCTGCCAAGGACACGTATTTAACCAGGCTCCATAGCAAGGTATGTGAGGGGTGAAATAACAGAATATCGTTGAACAGCTTTTACTGAGCAGAATGAGGAAATTAAAAAAACCTTTCCACATAAAGTAAAACCTCCATTATTTTTGTTTTCCCAGGAGCCACTAAAAACATTCCACATATTACACGATTAATCAACTCCTCTCACATAACTTCCCAGGTACCAGGAGGAGTTCTCCATCCCCCACACGTTATTTATTCCGTTCCCAACACTCCTGTTTGTTTCACAGCTCAGTTTCTGACTGAAGAACAGCAAGGCAGGAAAGAACCGTGAGGAAGAACAGGCAACAGAAACTGGGACGGAGGAGATTTAAAGTAAGTTTTACACTGGATGAAGCAAAGGCACCACCAAAACTGGCGTCTGGAAGTCGGCCGGGCAGGAGGCCGAATCTCCCTGATTTCCCCGGCACCAGGAGCGGCTCCGGGGCCTCCGGGAAATCCAGCCCCTCTTTACACCGCTCCAGACCCCGATCCCGGGAAACTCAGCTCCTCTCTACGCTTCTACTGACCCCATGCCGGGAAAGCTGCCCCATCCCATGCTGCCCCTGTGCCAGCACTGCGCTGCCCCTGCGCTGTCCCTGCTCTGTCCCTGCACCGTCCCTGCACTGTCCCTGCACCGTCCCTGCACTGTCCCTGCTCTGTCCCTGCGCTGTCCCTGCTCTGTCCCTGCACTGTCCCTGCTCTGTCCCTGTGCTGTCCCTGCACCGTCCCTGCGCTGTCCCTGCTCTGTCCCTGCGCTGTCCCTGCGCTGTCCCTGCTCTGTCCCTGCTCTGTCCCTGTGCCATCCCTGCACTGTCCCTGCGCTGTCCCTGCGCTGTCCCTGCTCTGTCCCTGTGCTGTCCCTGTGCTGTCTCTGTGATGTCCCTGCGCTGTCCCTGCGCTGTCCCTGTGCTGTCCCTGCTCTGTCCCTGCGCTGTCCCTATGCCAGCCCTGTGCCGCTGGCGCTCCCGGCGCACCGGCAGCGCTGCGGGCAGCCCCGGGAGGCGGCGCGGGGCCCTTACAGGAGCGGTGTCGGACCGCCGTGAGGACTGAGGGGAGCACCGCCCCTTCCTGCTGCCGCCATGGCCCTGCAGGGGGCGCTGCGCCGCGTGGCGGCGGCGTGGGGGGGGCGGTAAGTGCGGGCCGGGGGCGCCGGAGCGGGAGAGGGATCGGGACTGGGAATGGCACAGGGATAAGAACCGGGATCGGGATAGCGATAGGGATCGGAACTGGGACTGGGACCGGGACAAGGACACGGGCTGGAACAGGGACTGGGATCGGGACTGGGAATGGACTGGGACAGGGATAAGGATCGGGTCGGGACACGGATAGAGATAGGGACCGGGACTGGGATCGGTATCGGTACAGGGACCGGGACCTTGACTGGGATTGGGATTAGGGCCGGGATTGGGACCTGGACGGGGACAAGAACAGGGATCGGGACTGGAACAAGGACCGGGATTGGGAGAGCGACAGGGTTCGGGATCAGGATGAGGACAGGGATAAGGATCGGGACAGCGACAAGAACAGGGATCGGGACTGGAACAAGGACCGGGATTGGGAGAGCGACAGGGTTCGGGATCACGATGAGGACAGGGATAAGGATCGGGACAGCGACAAGGATCAGGATCAGGACAGGGATCAGAATGAGGCCAGGGATCGGGATCAGGACAGGGATGAAGACAGGGATCAAAATGAGGACAGGGATTGGGATCAGGACCGGAACAAGGACCGGGATCGGGATTGGGACAGTGACAGGGTTCGGGATCAAGATCAGGATCAGGACAGGGATCGGGATCAGGACAGGGATCAGGATCAGGACAGGGATCAGGATCAGGACAGGGATGAAGACAGGGACAGGATCAGGACAGGGATCAGGATCAGGACAGGGATCAGGATCAGGACAGGGATGAAGACAGGGACAGGATCAGGACAGGGATCAGGATCAGGACAGGGATCAGGATCAGGACAGGGATGAGGTCAGGGACAGGATGAGGACAGGGACAGGGATGAGGACAGGGATGGGGATGAGGACAGGGATCGGAGCGGGCGGGGTGCCGGGTATCCCGGCAGGGCAGGGGCGCGGGGCCGCTGCCGGGGCGGGCGTGTCGCGGGTGTCACCCGTGTGCGTGTGCGGTGTCACTGGCGGCGCGGAGCGTTTCCCGTGTAACGGCCCCGCCGGGCTGATCCGCAGCCATCCCGCCGCTCCCCTTCCCTGCAGGCACCCAAGGAGCTGCGGGGCTCTGGGTGCTGCGGCCCAAGGGAACTTGCACGGAGAACTCAGTTAAATATCGAAACAAAACAGGGCGATGTGGCGTTTTTTGGAAATCTCGAATGTCTTACTGTCGCTTCTTTTTAGTTCTAGAATGGGGAACAGCCAGACCACTCTAAGATTGTCTAATGATGCTGCTGTGAATCAAATACAGGTAGCGTTATTTATGTTGCTTTTACTGATTTTCAGCATTTATAAAACCCAGTTACTTCAAACTTTTTCTTATTTATACAAAGAAATACTGTAAATAGTTCTGCTTGTTGAACCTGTTCCTATGTTTATTATGGTTATCAAGCCGTGCTGGCAGTTCTGTTTATCCATAGCCTTGGAACCTGATCTTCCTAGGCTGCACCCATTCTATGGTTTTTTAGACCTCTACTCAAATTCAGTGCTGCTGTCAACACTGGGGAGAGAACCTTGTAAAAGTACTGATACCAAGGAAAGTTAAATATTTTAAAGGTTTGAGGTTCTTTAATATAAATTTACTGACAGTAAATGATAGCCTGAAATCCCCTTGAATTTACAGTAAAATGATAAGGGTGTATCTTCCACCCATTGCTTTTGGTCACTCTGTTTGCCACTGGCACATCCCAAGTGCCTTACAGACAAAGAAAACTCCAAAACAATCTAGGGGGATGCAGGGAGTTGGGCAGACTGCAGAGCAGAGTTGTACCACACACTGCCCCATCCTTGTGCTCAGTTTGGAGCCAGGTGCAGGTCAAACCTGCATTCAGATGTGCCAGCAGAGATTTTCCTGTGTTTGCTACTCTAGCAGCAGGTTTTTAACTTGTGTATTAACTTGTTCAGTAGTGTTCAAAGTGCATGAAGCTCGCTGACTTTTAACTTTCTTTTGAGCACACAGGATATTGTTTCACACAACTGTGTGGTGATTTTCTCTAAAACAACATGCCCATACTGCAAAATGGCAAAAAACTTGTTTGACGGTTTGAATGTGAATTACACAGCTGTGGAACTAGACAAAAATACGAATGGAAGGCAGTTCCAAGACGTTCTGGAACAGATGACTGGTGGCAGAACAGTGAGTATATTCTCTTATACATAACAAGTAACAATTGGGCTACACACATCACTCTTGGGTTATATCCATAGCAAGTCCTTAATTGCTTTGTGACACTTAAATTTGGAATACAAGCTCCTAAATTAAATACTGCAGAAGGGTTCTATCTCTTCTTCTAGAACCTCTCTGGCTATCCCTCAGAATTGATCTTTGCCATACTGCCAACTGAAATAATTGAAGTATCAAAGCCATTTTTCATTTGTGTATTTAAACCATTGTATTTAACACTTGAATTTTATTTTATAGTGTCTCAACGCAATTACTGGAATTTATTACAATCACCCATACAAAGACTTCATCCCACTTTTGAGGGGCACATCAAGTTTCCCATCTCTGTAAATATTCTGGAGAAGTATGAGTTGTACACTAATATTATACACACATGTAGCAGAACACCATAATTGTGTGTACTGGAGTCCACATTGGCTTGCTTGAATGTTTACCTTGTTTCCAAGAGCTAACTAAACCAACTTTTGTTTTCTTGATAGGTCCCCAGAGTGTTTATCAATGGGACTTGTGTTGGAGGTGCAACAGATACTCAAAAGCTTCACGAGGAAGGCAAACTGCTTCCTTTAATTCATCAGTGTCAAATGAAAGCAAATTACTGAGCAACCATCTCTAGCTTAGCTTTGTCTTCCTTTGTACGAACAGAATTTCAGATGAATTCAGAAGATCACAGACATAGGGCACAAGCTGCACTCAACAACCTCAAACCATGGCTTTCTGAATTACAGATCACTCTGACAGACTTTATGGACTTGGTGAATTACTTGGTGTCCTTGCCTCAGCTTTCCCACAACCTAATGTTTATCATTAGCAAACATTATGTAACTCTTGGGGTTCTGAGTGAGACAGTGATGTCCTTTCATGGTGATTGCATCCTGCTCCAAGGAAGTCCTGCAGCCTCTGCAGAAAGAATCCTGTGGGTTTTGCTGCACATTAGTTTGCTTTCTAGCTTTGTCTCAATAAATTGTCAGTTTAATTTAATGGTTTCTTTAAATATAATTTTTCTCTGTCAAACTGAAGTGTAAAGCAAACCCAACTTGTAGTGATATTGGTGTGTGTATGTCTGCCTGTCTTGTATTCCAGTCCCTGATCACCCAGCTCCCAAATTGTGTGTCCAGTGGAACAGAAAAGGGAATAAAGATCCTGGCAGCTTTAGAGAGTGATAGCTTTCATCTTTACTCTGCACTGGGAGGTGTCAGTCTATACTCCATTCAGGAATGTCCTTCGGGGGGGGCAGGCAGCTCGGGCACTCAACTGCAGCTGCAGACTACAGTAAAACCAATCCAACAATAGCATGAAACATAAACCCAAGTGAAGCAGGTCTAATATGCATAGAGTTTATTTAGTACTTAAATTCTACAGTCAGAATGCAGTTTACTAGCCATTTTAACTTTCAGTTACATGTCTAAAAGAAATTACTAAAATTCCATAGTTTCAGTACAATGTACATCCAAAGCCAGACCAGGCAATGCCAAGACTCTTGGTTATTTCAAAGAAGTTCATATGCAAGTAAAAAATTATATCCCATTCTTCAGTTAAAGGGACCATTACACAACTAAAGGTGCACATATTAGAATAAAAACATTAGTCAATTAATTTTTTTACTCACTTTTTGTGAATTAAGACTCCTGTTATTTCCATTGCTTTCAGCATTGCATGTACCTAAACTAATTCTTCCCCTCAAGGGAAAAAAACATCAATCTTTAATTCCAGCTAACTAGGATGGCAAAAGTATCATTTAAACTTGACAGCTTCATTTTTGTGATGCAGGTTTGAACTAAGTTTCAACTGCATCATTTGTACAAAGTCTTTAGTATAGAGTTGCCTGCATGGTGCATCTTTAATATGGAATTGGCTAATTCTACACACTGACCTTGTTTCATTTTAGTTATTGCAGTTTACTGTATGGTGTGCATCTCTGAATTTACACTTAATAAAGCAATTTATTTTGCACATACAGTCATATAAGAATTCTTTTTCTCAGTGTAGAATTCTTCAGCCAGTGATGTTTTTACCAGAAGCTTAACAACAATTTTGTCCCCAAAGCTGATAAACCCATCACGTAAAAATAATAACAATAGTATGAAAAGGACTTTTCCAAAGACCTTTTCATTTTGTTCCCTGTTTAGAGGGTTGTTTTTTTAACCAGTAGTCTAAAATACCCCTTTGAGTTCCAAGTTCTGGAAATCCCAGGGCATTGTCACTTAAGACAAATTCTCTTGCAGCTGTTGAAACAAGCCGTGTGCCTGCAGATGCAAGGGAGTGCCCCATCATTAAATAGGATCTAGCTTAAGGCACCCAAAGGGTTAATTATGTTTCTTTTAAACCATATTAAGGCTTCCCATCCAAACATTTTTTTTTCATTGTGTACAATTAAACAGAAAGTAGCAGCAAGACAGTGCCTTTATTACTGGATGGCACAAAGCCATGTTATGCTTAAGTTAATTAAACACAAAATGGCAGTCAAACTGTGGTTTTAATCTAGGGGGGATAAACCCAAAAAGACAACCAAAATGAAGAACCCCAAGAATAGTAATTAAAAATTTCCTTTTTTTCCCCCCACCATTGTCTCCAGGACAAAGCTGTTTATCTTAAAATACGCTTGTCCTGAGATCTAAATATTAAAATTTATCCTCTAGAAGATCTGGATACCTGCTCATCCATCTTAAATCCCATGCTTCTAAGAAGCAGAAGCTGGAAACAAACACTGAGTTTTTTAACGAAGCACAGAGAGCTGTGAATGTGCCCATGTGTTGATTTTTAAATACAGAATTATTTTTAAAGAGTAGAACTGCACTTTTACAGGAGAATGAAAAGACATTTTATTTGTAACTACTTGTGCTTAACTCTTAAGCTGGTAACATTAGGAAAACAGCTATTTCTATTCATTATTTGTTAATGAAGCATTTGTAAAACTTCTCAACATACCACATATATATGCAAATATATATATATATTTAAACTTAAATTCAGAATGCAGAAATACCTAAAGAAACCACGCTTTGCAGTATCAAAATCATAAATCCAGATTTGTAAGCACACATATTTAAAGACACCATACCTTCTGCTGAAATCAGCTAATCTTTTATGATTTCCCTCAGAGCAGCATATCCATAAAACACTGTTCTGGTCAGTGTTTTACCTTTTCCCCAGAATTCTTGCTGAGCCATTTGTACACTCCACTGTGTCACGGTAAGATGTAATCTCTACCATTCCAGCAAGAAAGTCATTAGAATAGCTGCTTACAGCATATCTGTGCACTGCAAACCACTGCAGACAGCAAAATAAACCTAGAAACTGGTGGAATCTCATAGAAACTAAAGAAAAGGATTAAATGCAGAAGACAGACAAATGATTCTTCTCTTAGGTTTAGTTCCACAGTCTATTCTTCGAAGAATTTCTCTAGTCAATACTGCAAAGTAGCTGCCGGGTTATCCAAAATATTAATTTAAATGTTTTCCTAATTCTGCATGACAGCAGCTTGATACTATTTAAAAGAATGAAAAGTTTCAAATCACTGAACTAATCCTAGAAAAAAGCTTTACATTTGAAAAGCCAATTGTTAAGAGGTTACTTCTTGCAAATAAAGCCATTCACAGGCAGATGTTGGATTTTTGTAATAAATAAAGTATACTTTTGTTCACTGATTTTTACACAGTTTTGCCAAAAATCTGACAGATATAGCAAATCAGATGTTTTGTAAGAGATTTATATAATTAAAGAACAGAAAAAATATTAATTACTAAAAACCTTAAATACTATGCCATCAGTTCTGGTGCAGGGAGCTAAGTGAGCACACTCAAGTGACAGCAAGAAGGCAGAAGAACAGAGGCAAAAAATGTAAAAAAAGGAATGGATGACAGCTTGTGAAAAAAGATTCAAGTATAGGCCTAAGGTGACAAGATGGAAAAGCAGAAAAAACCCAATGCTAACAGAGAAAAGGGTACAGCAAAAGAAGAAACAAAACAAATTGAACCAAAACTAAAGCTTCTGTTATGGTTCCTGTGAGCTCAGGACAGGGTTAAGCAGAATTTGCAATGCAGACAAATATTTTCATAGTGTTTTTACAGACAGAGCCATTATTAAAATACATTTCCCAAACTGCTGGTGTGTTTTTAAGCCAAGAATATGTACTTTGTTGAATAGCCTTTGAAAGCCATACCCATTTATGGGCACCAGTTAACAACAGCAATGTAAAAGACCAACATAAACCCCCTTAAAACTTGTGTTTAACAAACAGGTTTAACAGTGGTTTTAAGCAGCAAGGTATTTTAGTGCCAGTTATTAGTGCACTATTATTATTAGTGCAGCCTTCACACGGTGGGCATTTAGACTGGCCCTGCTGACCTCAGAACTACACCTACCTTTAGACTTTTGTTTTTTGAAACACAGAGGACTGCAATCTAATTCTACAAGCACCTCAAACTCTCCTACTCCCTGCTCCAGGTCTAAAACTCCTGACATGAAATTCTATTTCTTAGCAAAGTTATTATTGTCATTATTGAATTTATTACAAAATGTTGATGTGCTCACTGCACTATTTTTAAAAAACTCGAGAGCCTCTTGCCCTCTCCTCATCTTTGATTGTGCCTCTTCCATGAAGAAACCTGACCTTTGATCTTTATTCCTTACAGAAGAATGTTTCATTTCTGCTGTGCTTCCAGCCACCACATGCTTCTCTTCTTTCCTAAAGCTAAAGTGCCTGAACGTTACAGTCTTTAACACAATAATCTAATGCTCCAGAATTGCCAAGGGGGTCACAGAGAAATGGCAGTCAAACTGAAACCATGTTAGCTATCAGAAAACCTGCATTTTCCTGGTCTACAGCTACACTCTGCATTTAGACCTTTTTTAATTCAATATTTTGAATAAAATTAACTAGCTTTAAACTTGTCCCTGCTCAATGTTTACTGATAAACTGCAGTGCACAATTACAGTCCCTTTTCTTCTTCTCCAGTCAATGTGCTTCCAATGCAAAGATCACTATTCATTTCAATCTCCTTTTTGATGAAAGGGTAGGTTGTGTTTATTGTACACTGAACTAAAGCTTAAGTTTAGCAATTTTGTCTTAGCTCACCTTTTTTATTATTTTTGAAGCATTACAGTAATTACTGCCTCTTTAAATGTCTAGATGTTGCTTTGGAAATTACCAGTCTAATAACTAAAGACTAGAAACAGGGCAAATGCATCTTATGGCAAATGAGTCATGCTGTCCTCTAAAATTCAGTGTATAGGCAGATAAAAAAGATCCAGTCTATGGACAAGAAATATGCAGTTATCATTCTTCTATGCCCCTTACTAGAAGAGAATGGCAAAACCAGAAACTCCCAGAAACAAAGGTCCACATACTATAAAGTTTCAGCTGTCAGCATTTAGTTCTGTTTCCCCTCCGTGTGCAAATCTTGAAGGAGGATCAGTTGGCAGCGGGGTCTCATCAGTGCTGGTTTTACATCACATAAACCCCTGACAAGGTTTTTTGTCCAGAGATATTATAAATGTACAGGAGCATATTCTGTACCCCAGCAGGGATGACTACCTTCTACCACTGGTCACAGCTATCCAGTGTCAACAGATACAGGGATCTACAATTTCTATCAGTCCTACTGAAAAATTCGTCTTTACTTCCACACTCTAGTTCAAGGAATTGCATTTTAAACTGGACTGCTTCCAAAGATGCAACACCACTATAACCATACATTCAAACTGTTAGTAACTACTCTAGTTTTTATTTGCAATAAATTTACTTGAAAGTTACTTGAAACACCTGTTTTAAGTTTTCATTTTATATTTAGTCCAAAATATTTCTATTACTTCACAAATACTACTCCAAATAAGAAAAAGTACTTGCAAAAGATACTTATCTATCAGTTATTTTTGACATCTCTAGCTTAAAAGAAAACACCTAATCAGATGTTTGACTATTGTGTCATTTAAAATGCATTACTACCAAACCCAACCCCAAAACATCAGTGCATTTACTTGAAAAAATTAACAAGTATTTTGCAAATGAGTTTACTCCCCATATTCATGGTGTCTTGTTTAGACACAAGAATTGATACATCATTTTTCACAAGAAATGGCCGATTTTCTTTTTGCAAACCCAAAAGTGCTATGTTTTAGCTTTTGTAGGAACACTTGGTTTGTTCTAGAACTCACCTGAGGAGCTGGTGGCAGTCCTGTGTCCTCCAAGCATTCTGTGAGAGCTGTTCTGTGAGAGCAGTGATAATTCAGGAGTGACTTACATTCATGTTGGCTGAAAGGCAACACTCTACCCAGCAGTTCTTCAAGCCCTGCTTTATGCCAGGAAAGGCTTCCCTCACTGGATTATTGATTATGCATTAAGGGAGAGTGTAAGTAGCAGAATACCTTCAGGAACATGTAACATCCTATTTTAGCACCAAAAGAGATATATATCCCAGCTACACAATGTAAGCTTTGAATTTATAATCAACAGGAATGAGGCATAATGAAAAGTGCTACAAGTACCAAAAGTATAGTAGGAACTTCCATTTTACATTTAAAAGCTTGGGTTTTAGGCAGAAAAATATGGTCTTATGTGTCATTTACCACTATGGGTAAACATGATATTTTTATAAATCATAATTATTTTCAAATTAACATCAAATTCACTGTTTAAAACAGTCTACATTAGCATACAAGAGGCTGAAATACATATGTTTTAGAGGAAGTCATAAAAGCATCACTGAAAAACCTTTCAAATCTTGTAAGACTGATCTACTAAAGAGATCTTTTAACTTCCCCCCATACATACGTATAGAAAACACAGCATTAAATACATATACACACAAATTGCTATCAATTTCTGTTCCAAAGTGGTAGAATACTCACTGGCTTTCTCTTTGTCACACTGTTACTCTAAGACAAAAAATAAAAAATTAAAAATAAAGAATCCAGTTTCAATCACTTCCTAAACAAGATTTTGTGAACATGGAGGAGGGCGACTGTACAGTTCATAAAAGTTTTTAAGAATTGGTCACTATAAACTGGAGGTAGTTTTGAAATATGTTAGCTTGAATTAATTTATTAAATCAGAAGTAACACTAATCTACAAAAAGATTTTAAAAAATGAAATACTCTCCTGTTAGGAAGATTGTATCTGAGTCACTGAATACATTCTTTTGAAAAATAAAAAAAATGTAGCTTTTTGTTTCTGGTAGTACCCACTCAACTTTGGTGAGCAGGCCAAGACACATGCACTTGTGAATCTTGCTCACTGAAGGTGTGCTGAGGCTTCTTGAAGTTGTGACAAGGACTGAATGTGAGATCCCAGTCATTTCCAAGGTCTTTTTCTACTAAAAACAGTTTTTAGAACTTCCTGTAAAGTGTCTGAACTCTAAACTAGTGCTTCTGAAATAGTATTGTGCAGAAATTGCCCCTCACTTTATCTAAAGGCATATTTCCTCCTGGAAACCCAGATGATAATTCAGAGAGAAAAATATTAGCATGAGCTCCTGCACTTTTCAGTTTTATCAGTATAAAATGTCCCTGGGTAACTTTTACACTGTATCACAGTCACATGGTCTCAATACATACCAGAAAAAACTTTTTGTAGAGTTTAACTGTAACCATGGAAACCACTGAACATTAGTAACACTTAAAATACAAAGACTTTTAAAAGTCCAAAGAAAAGTCCCTCTCAATGAAGTTCCTGGTAAACTGCCATTATTAAAAATACTAAGCCCATTTGTTTCCAGGCCCATTCTAAAAGTATATCATGAATTTATTCTTGCAAATAAGCATTCCACAGCAATGGGGGAAATTAAAAATCTCTCCATATTTATAGTCTACTATAAACGAAATTAAATTTTATACTATGTAACCCTGTAAGCACTTTTAGCAAACTTCTCACTGTTAAATTATGTGCAAAAAAAAAAAAAAAATTCCTAATCTGCTGTTCTTGTTTTCCCTTCACAAAAAGGTAATAAAGAATCACAAAATCATGAGGGTTGGAAAAGAGCTCTGAAGCTCAAGTCCAACCATCAACCCAACACTGCAAGGTCCACCACTGAGCCTAAGCACCAGATCCACGAGGTTTTGGAACACTTCCATGGATGATGATTCCACCACTTCCCTGGACAGCCTGTTCCAATGCTTGGCTGTACACAGGATTTGGGGTTCAGCCTCACCAGTGCCAAGTAGAGAGGAACAATCCATTCCCTGGTCCTGCTGCCACTCTTTCTGATCCAAGTCAGGATGCTCTTGGCCTTCTTGCCCACCTGGGCACAGATGGCCAAGTTCACCCACTCTAGACCAGGCCCTTTTCCACTGGGCAACTTTCCAACCTCTCCACCCCAGCCTTTACATGAGACTGTTGTGATCCAAAGGCAGGACCCAGCACCTGGCCCCACTGAACCCCATACAATTGGCCTCAGTCCATGGATCCAGCCTGTCCAGACTCCTCTGCACAGCCTTCCTGCCCCCCAGCACAGCAACTCTTTGGCTCAGCCTGGTGTCACCTGCAAACTGAGGGTGCCCTCGATCCCCTTGTCCAGATCAGCCATAAAGACACTGAACAGGACTGGCCCCAACAGTGAGCCCTCGGCAGCACCACTGGTGACCAGCAGGATGTGACTCAGTCACCACTCTCTGTGCCCAGCCATCCAGCCTGTACTTCAGCCAGCAAACAATGCACCTGTCCAAGCAGGGGCTCCTAGCTTCTCCAGGGGAATGCTGTGAGAAATGGTGTCCTTGGCTCTGCTGAAGTCCAGGTAGATCACATCCACAGCCTTTACCTCATCCACTAGGGAGGTCACCATTCAGAGTAGAAGATCAGGTTGGTCAGGCAGAACCTGCCTTTCATAAAGGCATGCTGGCTGGGCCTGACCCCTGGCTGTCCTGCATCTTCTGTGTGATTAAGATGATCTATTCCATAACCTTCCTGGCACCGAGGTCAGGCTGGTAGGCCTGTGGTTTTCTGGCTCCTCTTTCCGGCCCTTCTGCTCCATGGGTGCCACACTGGCCAACCTCCAATCATCCTGAGACCTCCCTGGTTAGCCAGGATTGATGACAAATGGTGGAGAGCAGCTTGGGTGGATTCCATCCAACCCCATGGACCTTTGAACATTTACGTAGAGCAATAGTCACTGTTTCCTCCTGAATTACAGAGACTTCATTTTGTTCCTTGTCTCTATCTTTCCAAGGACAACTGGTCTGACTATTAAAGACTGAGGTAAAGAAGGCATCAAGTACCTCAGCCTTTTTCTCATCCTTTGTGGCAATGCTTCCCTTCACAGGCAATAAAAGATGGAGATTCTCTCCTTGGCCCTCCTTTTGTTGTTGATGTATTTGTAAAAACACTTTTTGTTATCTATTATGGCAGTGGCCAAATTAATTTCTAGCTGGGGTTTCACTTTTCTAACCTTCCTGCATAACCTAACAACATCCTTGTAGTCCTCAAGAGCATCCTGCCCGTTCTTCCAAAGGTCTTTTCTACCTGAGCTCCAGTGACAGCTCCCTGTTCAAACAGGTTGGTCTTCTTCCCCACATGGGGACAGCCTGCATCTTTAAGATCCCTGAAGAACGTCCAGCCTTCCTGGACCCCTTTTCATACAGGATTGTTTGCAAGGGATTTTCTCAATCCAAAATAGCCAAAGTCTGGCCTCTAGGGCTCCTCAGCTTCCTCTACACCCTCCTTGATGACTCCAAGGTGGTGCTCTGGGGGTGATCTACCTACTTCCTGGCACTGCTGGTCTCTGCTGCTGCTGAAGTCCTGGGGGACAAGACACTGGCCATCCTGCAGTACAACCCCTGCTCCTGTGGCTGATGAAGGCAGCATGTCCTCAGCAGGGGTACCTGCAGCAATGGAACTCCAAAGGCCACGAGGAGCTGGACAACATTGTGGCAACAGTACCCTGCTGAGGAGCTGGATGTGGCCAAGCTGGTGTCTGTGCTGACTGCAGCACTGGTGGAGAGCAAGAGCAGGGTCCAGCATGGTGACACAAAGTGTTTGCTGTGGTGGTGTCTTCCTTGGGCCCAGGCAAAATCACCTTTCTCCTCAAGGCAGTGGATGCTGTGGAGCTTGAGGACAACAGGGATGGGGTAATTCATGTGGTACAGGCCAGGATAGCCAGGAAGACTTTGGTGAAGTTCAGGGACCAAGGGTTTGTAAAGTACACTGTGGTCCTGCCATCATCCCATCATAACAGGGGGTCCTGTTTACCCCCTGGGACAGATCCAGGCTGGCTGTTGCTGGCCCACAGAACTCAGAGCACAGTTACTGTGGCTATCACACAAGGGATGATGCTCTCTGGAGCTCCAGCTCACACAGAGCCCAGGCTGGTCAGGGAATTAAGTCCAACTAGAGTTTCCAGTGTGTGTAGTGTGTATAGGAAGAAACCAACTGCCTTGGGCAAATGAGCATGGGAGCATGGAGTACGAGGAAGGTGGTTGACGAGTGGAGATGCCTTTCTGAAGGGGAATGGAGCAGGGCTGCCAGCTGTGCTGCAGGACTCTGAAGGGTGATGTGACTGCACTGCCAGCCATTACCAGGAGTGTCCAAACACACAGTGTGTTGCTGCATGGCACCAAGTCCCAGGGTGACAGCGGTGACATGTGGCTGCCACCTCCACTGGCAGGAGGATCACTGGCTACTGACAATTAGTTTGACACCAGAGATGCAAGCACTGAGTTTCTCTGAATCTGTTAGATTTGCATGAGACTGAAGTTCTGTTCAACCTTACAAACACCTTAGTGAGAAGCTCTAGTCAGAAATGCTTGAAGTGCCACCACCTTCAGTAACATTCTGATATGTATACAGTATGTCATAAACTAATAAAGTATATTTGGCTGGGAGTTCCCAGGGTGAAGTCTGTTGCTGGCAATGCACCCACTGGGAAGAGCAGATGCCTAAACTTAACTTAAATGAAATCCAAAGCGAAGTTCCGAATGACATCCAAGGCTCCTGTATCGAAGCCGCAGATGTCCAACATTCCTCTGTCATCCGGGTCTGCGATGGCAAAACCATGGGAGGTCATTCCACAAACAACCAGCTTAGCAGGAATAGCCATTTTCTAGAGGAAAGAGACAAGGAATATCAGAAAACATATATAGAGTATAACATGTGCACATGTGCAGTAACTTAAATATGCCAGAGGGCCAAATCTCGCTTGCATAAGCCACTGTCTGAAGGGCTGTACTGACAGAAACAAGGAAAGCAGGAATCAGCACTGCAGGATGCCTGTCAACCCTGGAATGGCAGCTAACCTCAACTAAGGAAACCAAATTAAAGACTTTTGGTATTCATTTCACCTGGGTGGAAACTATGTAATGATTAAAGTCCATATACCCATGCCTGGCAAACACAGTTTTGGTAGTTTAAAAATAGTTTCTTTAAAGCATAAAGGATTTTTTGCTGAATAAATGTTTCCAATATAAATGTGCTTGGAAAAGGTATTTTTCTTTGTTCTACTGTAAAATTATGAAGCTGTACAGCTTAGAGCTGTCCCTTTAAAACACAATGGGCTTTCTTCACAAGATACTGTCATCTCATCCTCTTGACATTTGCCTTCATTACTTCATTGAAACTTTTCGACATTTACTGCAGACACCAAAGTTGAATTTAGCTCTGAGAGTCAAACATCATTCTGTAACAACTATAAAAGCTTATTCCATCAATTATATATAGGATGGACAAATTCATACAGTCCCTGAGTAACAAAATTTCACGGGACATTGCAGCACACTGAGCATGGCAGGCTAATTTACAAATCCTTTTAGCAATTCTGTGGTTTTAAACATGCACAATTAGTGCAATATGTGCACTAATTCTGCCTAACTGCAGTACTGATAAGTTTTTAACAATACATAATTATTCACTGAACAAAGACACAACCAGTCCAATCTCTAAAAGATTTTTAGAGCTGGTACTTTGTATAGTATTTATTAATCATAAACAGTTGGAAGCATATTTACCTCTCTGTACTCTGTAAGGGCCATTGCAGGAGGAGTATTCCCAGCAAAGGTCTCATTATCAGTAAATATAATGAAGACATCAGCAGCTGTCTGAGTTTTTTGAGCCCAAATCATTGGAAGGGAGCAATCAGTGGTACCCACTGGAATCTTACAGGGAAAAAATAAATATAAATGTAACACATTAATACAGAAATTAACAAACCATGGAAAAATTACTTTTGATGTAAACTTCGTATTTTACCATGTGTTACTACACAAAGAGACTTTTTCTGTTAAACTTGGTCATTTTATCTATGTCTGTCCAGGGCTTTTTTTGTTAAATTTTTTAAATATTCTTTTCAAGTCAACTCATTGTGATTTACCACTGCCATTCTAAATTGCTATGTTTAATATCTAGCAAATGAAATAACGGCGTTTGCTGGGCTTGCCCTAAATAAAATGCACCAAAAAAATTCCAGTCTTGTACTCGAGAGACACAGATTAAACAAGGTAGCAGAACTTATTACAAAGAAAATACAATGTAACTGCTGTCACTTTTTTTTTTTTTACATACTTCATACATTTTCACTAAAACTTGAGGTAAGGTCATGTCAGCCGTCACTGGAAAAGGGACCATTTCGTGTGAAAAGGCAACAATTTGGGAATCCTTCTCAGTCCGTGCTACAACCTGAGAAAAGGGAGACAAAAATAATTCAGTTACATTACTCTGAATTTTTAATGCCTGATTTGAGCCATTCCCACCAACACACAGCATGACAAATACTTTTATATTGAAGTCCATGGCTCCTCATAAACAGTAATGGTTCACTCTACACTTTAAATATTCTTTAATATTACTGCAAACAAACACGGCAAAAAGAGCTGAACAATGGCTCTAATTACTGTAACTAAAGATACTTCCTTTATTCTTCCCTCCCCTCTGACATAAAACCTTGACCATTTTTAAGGGCCAACACAAGTTCAAGTCCTCTGCAATAAAAGCACAGAACACAAGAAGCTTTTGAATACTAAACTGAGGTGAAAGCAATTGTGAATAAAAGCCACATTGATAACTCAAATAGACATAAGAATTCTCCCAATATTTCTTAATCTAACCTGTATTTTTTTGTGAATATTTCTGAAAAAATTGAAATCTGTAAGGTAGTAAGATTGCTTATAGCAAGCCATTTTATTAGAGCTAAGATAAGTGAAAAACCTGCCCTAACCACTTTGATTTATAACAGAAACCAATTTCTTCAAACTGAGGTTTCTGAATATGGTTGCTAGTAGCTTTCATCAATGAGGCACAAGGTCACACCTCTTCCCCAAAAATGTTATAAGTAAGTTTCCTCTTGATTTCTAACCAGCTTTAGAGCACCTTTGTATCAGAAAAGCAATGCAAGCTGAAAACAGTTATAAATAAAAGAAATGCAAAGCCTCACCATACACATTACTGCTGCAACTGTGCTGGCATTGAGCACACTGCCCAAAACCTTTTGTGTCATGGATGCACTGACATCAACTGCAATTACAAAACGTTTTCCTGTTGGTTCCATTGTCTGAAAGAATAAAAGACAAAAATTAACAGGTACATATAATTTATATATTAATTTCTTCTGCTGCTTTCACTCCTAAAGTGGGCATTTTCTCCTCTTTCTGGGTAACATCAGGACAGTGCTGCTGCCAAAGTTTCAGAATTGTTACCCGCTTCAGGAACTGTTCTTGATAGGCTTTCAGAAAACACAGAACTCCCAAAAAGCTTAACAAATTGGAGTACTATAAATACCTTGAAAGCTTTGTAAAATGAGGCATCTAAAGCTTCTAAAATGTCTTCATCAGGACGCCACCAAAGCTTCCCTCTGTTTCCATGTCCAGCTTTATAGGTCTCTAATGCAACCAAAATATGGAAGGGATGTATTCTACCCTACAGGTAGAAATCAAAAATAAGGGTATGAAAATTTAACCTCCTTTAAAAAAAGCAAAAACTAAATGTGAAAATAAGTTACTATTACAGAAAATCACAGGTTCAATATACGGTTACTTCACATTTGTTAAATCTAAAGAGCTCATGCAGTCTTTACACAGCTGTTGGATGAACTGATACTTGTGGGTTACTGATAATGGACCTCACTCCCTCTCAAGAATCCTCTAATTAACACCAAACGGGATGCCATCACCAGAATTCTGGTAAAATTTTGCATTTCTATGATTGTCCAATGCTATTTTCCATCACAGGCTTACAGTAAGAGAAAGTTCCTGCCCAGCTGAAGAGAAAGGAGCTGAACAAGGAAAAGAACCAACTTAAAACTAGTTTTATACAAGATACAGTAACACTGGACAAGAAATTATTTTTGGAACATAGCATTCATTTTTCTCATGCTATAAAGCACTCCAAACAATTTTTTGCTTTCCATATATAAACTTAACTTATATAGCCTTATTAACATTTTGTTATCTTTGTGTTTCAGTCTTTAATCACTGCCAGCATCAAAACTCAGTGAATCTGAATGCCTGTCCATGTCTATCTTCCATCAAGATACTGAGCCATGATCTTTGCTCACCCTTCTCCAGTGCCTGTGTATGATTAAGGAAGAAACCAGAGAAAAGAAGTTGCAGTAGGATGGGGAAATAAGGACTTTTGTTGTTGTGCTCAATTCAGCTCTGGTGCTGAAGAATTTAAGAGTCCTGATTTTAATTTTCTCATCTCACAAAACTGCTGCTCAGGACACTTGTCCTCTCTACCTTTGACTAAATCCCTGAAAAATTTATTCTCTCTCTGGGGAACCCTCTTTTCCCTCTTACTTTCCTACCACTTTGATGGGCAATAAAACAATCAGAAAAGAGGGAAGTCTCCTTGTCCATTTTGTTTTTCCCCCTCAGTTGCTATGTTATTTTATTAACTCACTTAAAAACTACAAGTCTCAGAAGAAACTGATGAACCCAACTAGCAAAGCTTGCCACAGCCCTCATTTAAGAAAAGATCCAACAGCTGCCAATACACTTAGTTTATCAAAATGTTTCAGAAAACAGGAGGGGAATCAAATGAGAAAATATAAACAGAAGTATTGAAATAAAGTTGCAGGCATTAAACTGCATTTTTTAAATAGGATAAACAAAACGTTAAAAATTAAAATCCACTAAGGCTGGCACTGATTATAAAGTTCTTACCTTTTTTAGCAGTTTCTCATTTCTCAGTTTTTCACATACTATTGCCACTTCTGAACCTCGTGGTTCAAGCACTGAATTTGCTGACAGCTTTCCTAAATTTCTCAACAATACAGAAATAGGCATCTCCTTGAGTAATGCCTTCCAAACCTATGATGAAAGAAAAGGGCAACACACAAAGATGAGATTTTTCAAACTACAAGAACTGTTAGCTACACATTGAATAAGTATATTTTAAAAGAAATGTAAAAATGACATTAAGATCTCAATTTTTTTCATGAACTATTTGGGTAAACAACTTGAAAAACAGCATAAGGGCTATTTTAAAAGAAATCTATGCTTGGGACTCTGAACAGCATTACCCTATGGAGAATTCATATTTCTATGGACGATTCAACTACGGAAGTTTACCCACCTCTTTAGATTTCAGATGGTTTGTCAGGAGATGCTCTCTAACCAGACCATATTCCTCTATCAAATGAATAACTTCCAATTCATCTTTCGTGCGTTTTACTTTCTCCACAGCCTCCAGATACTTCAAGAGTTTTTCAGTCTCAGCAGAAACTGCTTTCTCTTTATAAGCTTCTTGGACATCTTTCCACCCCTTGGTAATATACTTAGTGACTATAGCAATTCCTGATGAAAAAGAAAACCATTTCTCAAGCAGGATTACCATCTGTATACTGGCATTTATCATTCTAGCATGCTAATGAATTAGCAGGTTTCATTCTCAGACCTGCCAAACACCAATTGAAAAGGTCAGCCACACACAATTTAGAGCAGTACTTTTAATTACTGAATTAATCTCCTTAGAAGTAAGGAGCTTTAGGTGTTTGCTACATTGCCCAGAGACACTGTGGATGCCACATCCCTGCAAGTGTTCAAAGCCAGGCTGGATGGAGCTCTGAGTGGCCTGGGCTAGTGGAAGGTGTCCCTGCCCATGGCAGGGGGGTTGGAACTGGATCATCTTTATGGTCCCTCCCAATCCAAACCATTCTGTTATTTTAAGATTTGAAGTCAACAGATCTTCCCACATAATGAAAAAATGTTACTTCATTATTCGTAAGGAAATGGGAACGAAATTAGGGTGTTGTGTTATTTTATCTTGTCTTGATTTAGGGAAGAAAAGAAGGAACAAACTCTGTTTACCTTGAAGATAAACAGGTTTGGTTTTGATATGAACATCCACGTTTTTAAGACGCAATTTACAGAATATTGTCACTGAGAATTCATCTACTTGGCACTTGCGTTTCCAAAATACTTCCACAGTAAATATAAAAGGTTTAAAACACAGTATTTTCAGGTAAGTAAAAATTTATTACCTTCACTGGCAGGTTTTAGGTGGGACAACCTCAGAAGATCTTTATGAGACCAACCACTTCTTTGCTTATATTTTGTAACTGCTAAAGCAAGAGCCATGCCATTCTTTCCATTGTACCAATCTGCAACAGCTTTCCTCAGAGCACGGCCCCACATGCCACATTTCATGCCCTCCTTCAGATCTTTTTTAAACTGGATGAAAGTAAAGAGATGGGTTGGTATGCAACACACCTCGGGGACAGCTTTAAACGCCGCTTGTTTTGTTTTGGCATCAGAACACTGCGAGCAAACTGCGAGGGCAAAGAGCAGGGGCTCCTGTTTTGCCGCTCTGCCCTCTTGACTAAAAGCTTTTATTTCTTCAACAACTTCGCAGCCTCTGCCTTCTTCAATCAGCCTTAGCAAAGCTTCGGCGTTTTGAAAGCCCAGCTTCTGCTCCTTGACGTGGTAAGCGGCGCCCTCGGAGCCGAAGCACAGGAAGCGCTGCAGCCGCGTGGTGTCCGGGAGGCGCCAGGCGGCACCGCCGGGCTCGGCCGCCCCGCTCTCCTCTGCCTCCATCCTTCACACCCGCAGAGCTCTGCTGCAAGAACAACACACTTCATTAACAGCTACGCTTGACTGCTCTTTTAGCAAAATAAATACGTGGTGTCTATGAATTTATAATCTTGCGTTTTCTTTCATAAATGTAATCATAGCGTACTCCAAGTGTGTAATAATACACATCATTTAGGGGAAAAGAAACAAAAAGCTGAGTTATAACAGCAACCAACTTACTTCTTCAAAACCAACTCAGAAACTACTTAACCCCAATAAATGGCAGACAAAAAACATCTGGTGTTACAGCCTTTTGCCACGAATATATTACATCACTTTCTAGGGTAGATCTTTATATTGCAGACTAAATGGCTCAAAATTCAGATCTTGCCCTGCTCTATTTTGCTCAAGAATTGCTAATACCAACCGAGTAAAAACTAGGCTAAAATGAAGAACTAAGATACAGAAAAACTGATTAGTTGGAAGACTCTGTGAGAGTTTATGTTAGGTTTCAGTGAGGCTTAAACAACAGCTTCTTAACAATTGAGTAGCTCAAGAACAAATTATCTTTGCTACAGGCTCAAATAGTCTGCTGCTCCAAGTGAGATCCAAGAAAACACAGAGACAACAGATTCTGTACTGATTTTACATTCGAAGTTAAGAAGCAAAAATCAGCAAAAATTCACAATCACTCAGTTCTATTTACACACCCCTGAGCTGCAAGAAAGCTGTAATATTTGTAGGGCAACACCACTGCTCTTACTAGGAGAACATTCAGCAAGGTAAAACTCAAGCCATGACATCTAAATTGAAGCAAATTCAGGTGAATTAAAACTAGCAGAGTAAGGGTAAGAAAATTCCTCATCACCACTACCTCCAAAACATTAATAGCACAAAAATAAATTCAGTTTGCTCAGTTCTTACCGAACAATAAAATTACACTAAATAGCACCAAGTGCTCCTACTGAAAACCAAAAAGGCAGAACCAATAATCCACTCCATCAAACTGCATATAAATCTTAAAATACGGGGAATAAAGTCTGAGCACACAGAAACGACATTTCAAAGAAATCCACTAAACAATTTTCAAGAATTGCAGATATCTACTTTTGACTTTTTTTCTTTGTTCAGATAGTGAAGACGAATAAAAGCCATTTTGCTCCATTTACCAGGATAAGCTAGCAGAAACAAATGTCACTAATGTAGACAGAGGAGTTTCCCCCCCAGTTTCAGTAACACTCTGGTTTAAAAACAACTTCCCTACTTCTTTGACAGAGAATTTCCCTTTTTCTGCAAGCTACTAGAAATGCATCTTTGCTCTGTTTCTGCATATCAGCACTAATCTGCACCCAGAATTAAACAACAATCATCAGTGCTCCCACTACATTCTACAAACTGATAAAATCATAAAAATAAAAGCCATATACTGACACATGGTTTAAGAAAGCAGATTTCATTTAAAATTAAGTAAGAAATATCTCTCATTGTATTATTTAGATCATCAGTGCTCAGCTAAAATTATATATTCTATCCACGTTTCCTGCCAAACCTATTTAAATACACACCATGGTTGCACTGACTTTTTCCCTGACATCTGAAGCATGCAAATACATTGAAAATAACAAGGGCGGTATTCCCCATGCATGAATACCACATGAGGACTTTTTCATGTCTAAATACATTTTATTTCAATGCAGTTCCATTAGTTCATTTCATTACACAGTAATGTCAGTAATGTTTCATAATAAACACAGAAATACCAAACAAAAATTCTGAAATCACACTTATTTATCAGAAAAAAACAGTACATGAAGGATACTGAGAAACACTATTATCTTGAAGGAAAAATAAGAATGGGAAGCATAAGGAATCACCCATGCACAAAAAGACCTCCATGGATATAAAATACTGAGCATGATTTCTTGCTGTAGCTTTCATGTCCCTACTATAATAAATACTACTACATTGAAATGAAACAAGTGGGAAAACGCTTATGGATATTAACAATGGATAATTTTTATGTTTACTTTGGCGTGAACCAGGCTATTCATGGACCCACCACAATGGAAAGAGGCGTAGGTCCTCATCCATATGCCTCTGACACAAACCCGTAATAGAAAAGATAATTTCAAATAGTTTTTCTGACACTTAGCTCCTTCATTTGCTTTTTTAGGAATATGCTATAAGCTACAAACCCAGATTCTGTTACAATTTCCGACAACTGTCTAACACAAATTGCAAATTCTTAAAAATAAATTGGCATTTTAAAAACTACCTTTGAAATCTGCAATAGCTTTTGGAAACCACCAATCTCACTACCAAACAGTCACAGCAAAAGCATCAGATTTACACTTCACCAGCAGCTACTGGAGAAGCATTTATTCATGGTAGAGCTGCTCAAGTCACGTTGGTCATTTCTAACCCTGTATTACATCCCAGCCCCAAAATTCCCAGAGCTATTCCCTGCCTTGGACTCGTCTCACTCCTCTGCCCAGACCTCAAGCTTATTTTTTCATTTAACACCTGTACAACAGAGACAACTTTCCCCCTAACAGTAGGTGGGGAAATGAAATGCTCACTTAACATATACTCTACTACAAGCCTACTCTGCACCTGCTGAGCTGCAGCAGGGAACCTAAATTTAACTTGAATTTAAAACACCTGTGGAGGATTTATCCACAATATTCTGGCCCCACAAGCATTTTCAGTTTCTGAGCTGCAGGAATACGAACAGCAATTCCCAAACTTAGAAGTCCCAGAACAGGAGTTTTCTAACAAAAATTGCAAAATTAAACACCGTGGCATTATTAATGACCCACTATATTTCAACTGCCAGATAAATTTTTAAGTAAAATATGACTTTGACTGCTCTAGAACAGTCTATACGCTAGTTACACATCAACTAGTAACTCAATATTTTTAAGTTGCTGCACCATAGCATGATTCAGTTCTTTAAGTAGACATTCATTAATTTCAATGACTTTTCCAACTTGTTCAAGCTTTCCTAAGAAATAAAATGTCTGACAAGTTTCATAGATGGATTTAAAAAACCATATAAAGTACAAAGTTTAACAGAACTACAGATTCTAATTTAAGTTCTTAAGTTTAACTGCTACGTTAACAACTAATCAAATTTAGTAGCGGAATCCTATGGAATTAAACTTTGAAAAAGTCAGATCTTTTATGACAAAAAAAAAAAAAATTAGCATTTTAAAGACAGGATTTCAAATTGCCTTTGAATACTTCAAAACCATATATACTTCATATATACCCGGAACTGCATTCCGTTTCTCTGCTCTCTAAATTGTGAATAAGCATTAACCTGAAGACTATAAGGAATGTCTTCTGAGTTAATCGAGCAGAGACCACAACATTGTAACAAAACAGGCTCGTGCTACAGATTAGCTCTGACAACAGAGTTCCCATATTTCAGAAAATAAACACCTCTACGTAAGCTGGGATGCCAGGAGAACACTTCGCAGATCACCAAGGCAGTGATGCACGGCAGCAGCACAGCCGGTACCCGACTATACGAACCACAAAGCATCCCACGCATTTCTACTGCACAATTTGCAAGAGCCTGTCTGCTTAAAAAAAATGTACGGACCGGGGGCCAAAGGCAGCTTAGCTGACGCAGCACAGAATTAAGAGATAGACGCACCTAAAGCGGATACCCGAGGAGCTGCGATCGCAGCTGTCAGTCTCCATAAAGACGATAAACACGCCTAAGGCCAGAGACGCGCCCGGGACCGCCCCGCGGGCCCCTCACGCCCAGGTGCTCTCCGGAGCTGCCCCCCCCGGCCTCTCCGCACTCCCCACGAATCCCTGGGGCCGGCCCGGGGACCCCGCACCCCGCTCCCCCTGCAGCCCGGGAAGCGCCACTTGCCTGCGAGGCGGCGGCCCGGGCGGGGCCGGGCGATGCCGCAGCCCCGGGGGCCGCGGGGCGATGGGCAGGGGAGGCACCGGGGGCAGCGAGCGGCGGCCGGGCCGCTCCGGGCGCGCAGGGGGCGGGCAGGGCCAGGCAGCGCCGCTCCGGCCGCCACAGATCCGCGTCTCCCGCTACAGCCCCGCCCCCCGCGCCCCGACCGCACCGCCGGGACCCGGATGGGGCCGCGCCCCCCGTGCGGTGCCCGGATGGAGCCATGGTCGGGGTCAGCTCCGCTCCCCGCCGCACCGCCCGAGGGCCCCGCCACCGCCGCCTTCCGTCCCCTAGCCGCCCCGGAGCGCATCCCCGAGGCGCGGCGCGGCCCTCCCGCGGCCGGGGCGGTGCCGCCGGTGTCCGTAGCTGCCCCGGATCCCGCAGCTGCCCCGGATCCAGTCCCAAGCGCCGCTTCCTGCGGCCGCCCCGCCTCTCCATGGCGGTGCCCGGCGCGGGTCCTGCCGGGAAGGGAGCGGCGCGGCTCGGCCTCGCAGCCTGAGCGGCGGCGGCGCCGCCATGTCCGGGGGCAGCAGCGCCGGCGAGTGGTGCCTCATGGAGAGCGACCCGGGCGTCTTCACCGAGCTCATCAAGGGCTTCGGTGAGGGTCGAGCGGGGCCGGGCAGGTGGCGGCGGCTCCGCAGGGCTGTTCCCGCGCCGCTGGGTGCTGTCCCTGCGCGGGGAGGGGATGCGAGGGGCTCGCTGGGCGCGCCCCGCGGGGCTGTGTTGCCGCAGGGCCGGGAAGGCGCCGGGAGGCGCTGCCGGGGCGAGCGCGGCTGCCGTGACGGAGGCCGGCCTGGCCGCGTGCGGGCAGCGCGGCCTGCGCGTCCCGGCGCAGCCCTGGGCCCGGCACCTGTTGCTCTGCCGCGGGACTGCTCGGCACCAACGTGTCGCGTGGAGTCACAGCGGCAATTAGGTTGGAAAAAGTCTCTCAGATCGTCGTGTCCAACCTATGACGCAACACCACCCTGTCAACCTGACCGTGGCACTGGGGCCATGTCCAGTCTCTCCTTAAACACCTCCAGGGGCCGTGACTCCATCACTTCCCCGGGCAGCCAATTCTAATGTGTGATCTCCCCTTCGAAAAAATTCTTCCGAATGTCCAATC